AATTAATAAAAAAAAAATAATTATTATAAAGAAATAAAATAAAACGTTCAACAGTGAAGGTGTTTATAAGGGCCGGGGACGGAGGCTCACGCCCGTAATCACAGCACTTTGAGAGGCCGAGGCAGGCGGATCACAAGGTCATGAGTTCGAGACCAGCCTGGCCAGTATAGTGAGACCCCACCATCCCTTCTACAGATACGAAAACGTTCTCATCATGGCGCCTGCCCGTCATCCCGGCTTTTCCGGAGACTGGGCAACGCAGCGAGACTCCGTCTCAAAACACGAAAGTGTTTGTAAGGGAAAAAAGGAAAAAATAATTATTTTTTTACCTCACCTCTTCTCCAGAAAAGGTCACCTGTTCATACTCAACCCTTATTCTTGATGATTCCATTTGCAACTCATTGAATTTTGCATTAAACTTGCATTTATTTGTATTTTTTTGAGTTACTGAATTTTACATTAAACTTCCATTTATTTTTATTTTTTAAGGATGGGGTTTCACCGTGATGGCCAGGCTGCTCTTGAACTCCTGACCTCAGGTGATCCACCCGCCTCGGCCTCCCAAAGTGCTGGGATTACAGGCTTGAGCCACCGCGTCCGGCCTCTTCGGGTGAATTCTTAATTTTTTTTTTTTTTTTTTTTGAGACAGAGTCTTGCTGTGTTGGCCAGGCTGGAGTGCAGTGACAAGATCTCAGCTCACTGCAACCTCCTGGCTAATTTTACGTTTTCAGTACAGGTAGGGTTTCTCCAGGTTGGCCGGGCTGGTCTCGAACCCATGACCTCAGGTGATCCGGCAGCCTCGGTTTCCCAAGGCGCTGGGATGACAGGAGTGAGCCCCCGCGTCCGGCCGGGTGGATTCTTCCAAACGCACCCAGAGGCCACTGCACTGGAATTCACGGAGCCCGTGGTGACGTGTCCGCTGTCCCCGCGACACTCTGCCCTCCTCTAAACGTCTGCCAGGTGCCCCCGAGGCCCTTAGCGACCGGACCTCAGCCTCCCCCAGCACAGAGCATTTAATGTCCCCGTCCCCATCCCCAGTAAAAGACTTAAACCCCCAGGTGCGGTAGCTCAGGCCTGTCATCCCAGCACCTTGGGAGGCCGAGGCGGCTGGATCAGGAGGTCGAGAGATCGAGACCATCCCGGTCAACATGGTGACACCCCGTCTCTACTAAAAATACAAAAATCAGCCGGACGGGGTGGCGCGTAACTGTGATCCCAGCTACTCGGGAGGCTGAGGCAGGAGAGTTGCCTGAACCCAGGAGGCGGAGGTTGCACTGAGCTGAGATCCCACCATTGCCCTCCAGCCTGGGCCACAGAGCAAGACTCCCTATCAAAATAAATGAATAAATTAAATAAACATCCATCTCCACCTGGTGTCCCTCCTTGCTACTGGAAGGGGTGCTCCCCGTCCTCGGTAATCTAACCTCTAACACGGGCTGATGGAATGTTCCAGGGCTTTGCATCCCGGGTAGGGCCCCACCGAGAGCTGGCGTGCCGGGCCCCGGGAGGGGTTTGCAGACACACCCCGTCAGCCCGCTGGAGGTCCTCGCCTGCTCTCCCGTCCATGCCCGGCTGCCCGGGACACAGAGGGGAGGAAGGGCCGGGCGCCAGGACCACAGGTCCACGTCACACCAGGACACAGGGAGGACAGGCCCCGTATCCAGGGATCCAGGACACACAGGGACGAAGGCAGGGCCCTGTGTCCACACGTCCACATCACACCAGGACACAGAGGGAGGAAGGGCCCCGTGACCAGGAGTCCATGTCACACCAGGACACAGAGGGAGGAAGGGCCCCGTGACCACAGGCCACATCACACCAGGACACAGAGGGAGGAAGGGCCCCGTGACCAGGAGTCCATGTCACACCAGGACACAGAGGGAGGAAGGGCCCCGTGACCACAGGCCACATCACACCAGGACACAGAGGGAGGAAGGGCCCCGTGACCAGGAGTCCATGTCACACCAGGACACAGAGGGAGCAAGGGCCGATGACCACAGGCCACATCACACCAGGACACAGAGGGAGGAAGGGCCCCGTGACCAGGAGTCCATGTCACACCAGGACACAGAGGGAGGAAGGGCCCCGTGACCACAGGCCACATCATGCCAGGACACAGGGAGGACAGGCCCCGTGTCCCGAGGTCCATGTGACACCAGGACACACAGGGAGGAAGCCTGGGCCCCGTGTCTACACGTCCACATCACACCAGGACTCAGAGGGAGGAAGGGCCCCGTGACCACAGGCCACATCCCACCAGGACACAGGGAGGACAGGCCCTGAGACCAGGGGTCCACGTCACACCAGGACACACAGGGAGGAAAGGCCCCGTGACCACAGGTCCACGTCACACTAGGACGTGGGGAGCTGAGGGGCCTGAGTTGGGAGGGAAGGGAAGGCAGACAGGCCCGTGGCCTGTGGCTTGGCGGCCGGCCAGACGTCCCCATGTCCAGGACAGCAGCTGCCCCCGAGGTGCCCCAGAGCTGGGGTGAGGGCAGAAACACGGGCCGGGACAGAAACGGGGTACAGGAGCCCCGGCTACGGTTACACGGGAGAATCCCACCGGGGAACGTGGGATCCCAAGGCAGGTGCGTGAGTCGTCCACTGCGGCCCACAAACCTTCCGTGCACTCCATTTTTCGTGTCTGTGAGACAGAGTTTTGCCCCTGTCACCCAGGCTGGAGTGCGGTGGCGTGACCTCGGCTCACTGCAGCCTCCGCCTCCCGGGTTCAAGCGATTCTCCTGCCTCAGCCTCCCGAGTAGCTGGGACTACAGGCGCCCCCCCCCACCACCCATCACACACGGCTAATCCGTGCGCTCTGTGAGGCCCAGTCCTGGCATCCAGCCCGGGGTGGGAGACAGCGGGGTGCGCGTGAGCAGCTGCGGAGGCAGGAATGGGGCCCTGGACAGACCCCCGACCCGGGCTGCTGGTCACCGCCGGGTCAGCTCACGGTGGGGGAGTCTGGGGTGGACAGTCCACTGTCACTGACACGGGCGGTGTGGCCTGCGTAGGGCAGGGACAAGGGCCACAGGAGGTGGGAGAGGCCGGAACCCGAAGGGGACACCCGGGTGGGTGCGTTTGCCGGCCCCCTGCCTTGCCCCCAGCGCTGAGACGAAACCAGCTGCCCTGTTGCCCCACCCCGTCCTGTGCCTTCCGGAAAACAGCCCCAGCAGTGACCAACGGCCCAATGGAACCCGTCACTCAGACACCTCCTGTTGCCAGGCACGGTGGCTCAGGCCCAGCTCCTTGGGAGGCTGAGGCGGGTGTATCATGAGGTCAGGAGTTCGAGACCAGCCTGACCTCTATGATGAAATCCTCCGTCTACTAAAAATACAAAAATTAGCGGGGCGCGTCGGCACGGGCCTGTAATCCCAGCTACTCAGGAGGCTGAAGCGGGAGAATCCTTTGAACCCCAGAGGGTGACGTTTCGGTGAGCCAAGACTGCCCCACTGCACCCCAGCGTGGCTGACACAGTAAGACTCCATCTCAAAAAAAAAAAAAAAAAAAAAAAGGACCTCCATGTCCCCTCCAAGGGCCCCTCTGACCACAGAGACCCCCGTGGACACACGTGGAATCTCACAGGGACAAGCTCATCCCCGGATGTCGACTGGAGGCTGGTCTCGAACTCCCGATCTCAGTTGATACAGCTGCCTCGGCTTCCCAAAGTGCTGGGATTGCAGGTGAGAGGCTCTGCGCCCGGCCGGCCTCACCATCTTTTAATCGACACTTACACAAAATCTCGCCGTGTTTCCCAAACCCACACACCTGCAGAGGAAAGGGCTACAGATGGGAAAAAAAACCCTTTTTTTTTTTTTTTTTTTTAAATAGAGACGAGGGTTCAACATCTTGGCCAGGCTGGTCTCGAACTCCTGACCCTGTGATCCACCTGCCTTGGCCTCCCAAAGTGCTGGGATGACAGGCGTGAGCCCCTGCGCCCAGCCTTAAAAATCAGGATCGCAGCCGGACGCGGTGGCTCACACCTGTCATCCCAGCACTTTGGGAGTCTGAGGTGGGCGGATCACCTGAGGTCAGGAGTTCGAGACCAGCCTGACCAATATGGTGACACCCCATCTTTAAAAAGTAATAAATAAATAAAAAAATTAAAAAATAAAAAATTAGCATCAGAGTCGTCCTGAGGCTCCACGAGACCGCCCGCAGCAGCCACCAGGGGCCCGAGTGGAACGTCAGTCACAGACCTGCGTGTCCCCTGCTATGGCTCTGCTGACCGCAGACACCCCCGAGGCCACATCTTCGGGACGTCCTCCTCAGTGTCGCTAAACCCCCAGCCAGGGGGACCCCGGGGACGCACTGTGGGATTTACTGTTGGGGCTTCATGTCCCCCGGCCTGGTCAGGACGCCGGCCCCTCCCCTGACGCAGGGTAACCGGGTCCCTGCGGGAGTTGGGGGCGGTGTTTGCAGCCCACGTGTCCCGCGGTGCCTACAGGTCCGTGGCGGGGTCGGGGCGTCCCTCCTCCAGCAGGAATGTCCGCTCCAGCCAATCACGGTGTCCCTCCTCCAGCAGGAATGTCCGCTTCAGCCAATCACGGTGTCCCTCCTCCAGCAGGAATGTCCGCTGCAGCCAATCATAGCGTCCCTCCTCCTGTCCGCCCCTGCCGATCACACCGTCCCTCCTCCAACAGGAATGTCCGCTCCAGCCAATCACAGCGTCCCTTCTACAGCAGGAATGTCCGCCCCAGCCAATCACAGCGTCCCTTCTACAGCAGAAATGTCCGCCCCAGCCAGTCACAGCGTCCCTCCTCCTGTCCGCTCCAGCCAATCACAGCGTCTCTTCTACAGCAGGCATGTCCACCCCAGCCAATCACACCGTCCCTCCTCCAACAGGAATGTCTGCTCCAGCCAATCACAGCGTCCCTTCTACAGCAGAAATGTCCGCCCCAGCCAATCACAGCGTCCCTTCTACAGCAGGAATGTCCGCCCCAGCCAATCACAGCATCCCTCTTTCAGCAGGCACGTGTGCTCCAGCCAATCACGGCGGCCTGTGTGTGTTTTAGGACGTGCGTCGCGCAAAGACCCGGAAGCTGCCGGGAGCGCGGAGACTGCAGCGGGTGGAACGTGAGTGACAGCGTCGGTCTCCGGACGGCGGGAATGGGGTCGTCGGCGGGGGGAGGTTGTCAGCGCCCGTGGCGGGCTCGGGCTCGGGATCGGGAACCCGCGCTTGCGTCACTCAGGCCCCGCGTCCTGCTCCTCCTCCCGGGACCCTTGGCCGGAGCGATTGCGGGAGACTCGCCCGCGGTGTGTGGGCTGCGCGTCTGGCAGCTCCAGGCAGCCTGTGACCCTTGCGGGGCCGGGAGGCTCCTGGGAGGGAGTTCTCTGCTGGGTCCGAGGGACCCTGTGCCCGGGACGGTGGGGACGGGAGACTTTGGGATCGTGACTCGCTCGACAGGCTGGACGTCCTCACACAGTCCCGGGGTGCGGGGGCCAGCGCGGCCGTGGAGACCCCAACCCAGGCGGAGCCGAAGGAGTTAAGACACGGACAGTGTGGGGATCAGGGGTCAGAGTCTGATCGTCCTATTCTTTTTTTAATTATGATTTTATTTTGTTCCTCAGCTGGATTTTTGTTGTTGTTGTTGTTCCTCATTTAATTTAATTTAATTTATTTATTTTTTAATTTTTATTTTTTAAAAATAAAGACGGGGTTTCGCCATGTTGGTCAGGCTGGTCTTGAACTCCCGACCTCGGGCGATCCGCCCACCCTGGCCTCCAAAGTGCTTGGATTGCAGGTGTGAGCCACAGCACCCGGCCAGTTTTTTAATTTATTTTTTAATTTTTTTTTTTTAAAGATGGGGTTTCACCATGTTGCTCAGGCTGGTCTTGAACTCCTGACCTCCTGATCCGCCCGCCTCGGCCGCCCCAAAGTGCTGGGATGACAGGCCTGAGCCTCTGAGCCCGGCCCCTCGTATTGATTCTTTACTTTCCAGTGACAAGTTGTTTTATTTTCTGTCTTTTTTTTTTGATAGAGTCTCTGTCTTGTCACCTGGGCTGGGGTGCAGGGACGTGACCTCGGCTCACTGCGACCTCCACTTCCCTGGTGCAAGCAGTTGCCCTGCCTCAGCCTCCCCAGCAGGTATTTCCTGCATGTGTGGGTTCTGGGTTGGTGCCACGGCCACTCACGCCTCTGGGACGTGGGTCACGGCCACTCATGCCTCTGGGACGTGACCTTCCTGAGGACTCAGCGGGGGGGAAGGTGTGTGTGGGTTTGTCACCTGGCCTGGCGGGTCCCCGGGCTTCTGGGCCCGTCTGTCATTGGACTGTGGAAGCCACAGGGTGGAGAGGACCTGCCCAGGGAAGGTCAGTGCTCTGTGGGGTGGCCTCCAGACCCCAGGCAGATCGAGGGGCAGGGGGGCCGGGGATGGGGACCGCCTGCAGGCTGCTGCCTGCCACATTGTGTCACGTGTGGGGAGCGGTCGGGGGGACTTGGGGACAGGTGGGGACGCCCCTCAGTGCTCAGGGGAGCTGTGGTGTGATGGAGGGGTTGGGGGGACATGGGGACAGGTGTGGGGACAGGAGGGGATGCCCCTCATGGTCAGGGGAGCTGGGGTGTGATGGAGGGGTCGGGGGAACATGGGGACAGGTGTGGGGACAGGAGGGGACGCCCCTCAGTGCTCAGGGGAGCTGGGGTGTGATGGAGGGGTTGGGGGGACATGGGGACAGGTGTGGGGACAGGAGGGGATGCCCCTCATGGTCAGGGGAGCTGGGGTGTGATGGAGGGGTCGGGGGAACATGGGGACAGGTGTGGGGACAGAAGGGGACGCCCCTCAGTGCTCAGGGGAGCTGGGGTGTGATGGAGGAATCGGGGGGACATGGGGACAGGTGTGGAGACAGGAGGGGATGCCCCTCAGTGCTCAGGGGAGCTGGGATGTGATGGAGGGGTTGGGGGGACATGGGGACAGGTGTGGGGACAGGAGGGGATGCCCCTCATGGTCAGGGGAGCTGGGGTGTGATGGAGGAATTGGGGGGACATGGGGACAGGTGTGGAGACAGGAGGGGATGCCCCTCAGCGCTCAGGGGATCTGGGGTGTGATGGAGGGGTTGGGGGGACATGGGGACAGGTGTGGGGACAGGAGGGGATGCCCCTCATGGTCAGGGGAGCTGGGGTGTGATGGAGGAATTGGGGGGACATGGGGACAGGTGTGGAGACAGGAGGGGACGCCCCTCAGTGCTCAGGGGAGCTGGGGTGTGATGGAGGGGTTGGGGGGACATGGGGACAGGTGTGGGGATAGGAGGGGACGCCCCTCAGTGCTCAGGGGAGCTGGGGTGTGATGGAGGAATCGGGGGGACATGGGGACAGGTGTGGAGACAGGAGGGGATGCCCCTCAGCGCTCAGGGGATCTGGGGTGTGATGGAGGGGTTGGGGGGACATGGGGACAGGTGTGGGGACAGGAGGGGATGCCCCTCATGGTCAGGGGAGCTGGGGTGTGATGGAGGAATTGGGGGGACATGGGGACAGGTGTGGAGACAGGAGGGGACGCCCCTCAGTGCTCAGGGGAGCTGGGGTGTGATGGAGGGGTTGGGGGGACATGGGGACAGGTGTGGGGATAGGAGGGGACGCCCCTCAGTGCTCAGGGGAGCTGGGGTGTGATGGAGGAATCGGGGGGACATGGGGACAGGTGTGGAGACAGGAGGGGATGCCCGTCACTGCTCAGGGGATCTGGGGTGTGATGGAGGAATCGGGGGGACATGGGGACAGGTGTGGGGATAGGAGGGGACGCCCTCACGGTCAGAGGAGGTGGGGTGTGATGGAGGAATCAGGGGGACTTGGAGACAGGTGTGGGCACAGGGGTGACGCCTGTCAGTGCTCAGGGGAGCTGGGATGTGATGGAGGGGTTGGGGGGACATGGGGACACGTGTGGGGACAGGAGGGGATGCCCCTCATGGTCAGGGGAGCTGGGGTGTGATGGAGGAATTGGGGGGACATGGGGACAGGTGTGGGGACAGGAGGGGATGCCCCTCATGGTCAGGGGAGCTGGGGTGTGATGGAGGGGTCGGGGGAACATGGGGACAGGTGTGGGGACAGGAGGGGACGCCCCTCAGTGCTCAGGGGAGCTGGGGTGTGATGGAGGAATCGGGGGGACATGGGGACAGGTGTGGAGACAAGAGGGGACGCCCGTCAGTGCTCAGGGGAGCTGGGGTGTGATGCAGGGGTTGGGGGGACAGGTGTGGGGACAGGAGGGGATGCCGCTCATGGTCAGGGGAGCTGGAATGTGATGGAGGGGTTAGGGGGACATGGGGACAGGGATGGGGATAGGAGGGGATGCCCCTCATGGTCAGGGGAGCTGGGGTGTGATGGAGGAGTTGGGGGGACATGGGGACAGGTGTGGGGATAGGAGGGGACGCCCTCATGGTCAGAGGAGGTGGGGTGTGATGGAGGAATCAGGGGGACGTGGAGACAGGTGTGGGGACAGGAGGGGACGCCGCTCATGGTCAGGGGAGCTGGGGTGTGATGGAGGAATCGGGGGGACATGGGGACAGGTGTGGAGACAAGAGGGGACGCCCGTCAGTGCTCAGGGGAGCTGGGGTGTGATGCAGGGGTTGGGGGGACAGGTGTGGGGACAGGAGGGGATGCCGCTCATGGTCAGGGGAGCTGGAATGTGATGGAGGGGTTAGGGGGACATGGGGACAGGGATGGGGATAGGAGGGGATGCCCCTCATGGTCAGGGGAGCTGGGGTGTGATGGAGGAGTTGGGGGGACATGGGGACAGGTGTGGGGATAGGAGGGGACGCCCTCATGGTCAGAGGAGGTGGGGTGTGATGGAGGAATCAGGGGGACGTGGAGACAGGTGTGGGGACAGGAGGGGACGCCGCTCATGGTCAGGGGAGCTTGAATGTGATGGAGGGGTTGGGGGGACATGGGGACAGGTGTGGGGATAGGAGGGGACGCCCCTCAGTGCTCAGGGGAGCTGGGGTGTGATGGAGGGGTTGGGGGGACATGGGGACAGGTGTGGAGACAGGAGGGGACGCCCCTCAGTGCTCAGGGGAGCTGGGGTGTGATGGAGGGGTTGGGGGGACATGGGGACAGGTTTGGGGATGGGAGGGGACGCCATCCTGGTTAGAGGATCTGGGGTGTGATGGAGAAATCGGGGGGACATGGGGATAGGTGTGGGAATAGGAGGGGACGCCCTCATGGTCAGGGGAGCTGGGGTGTGATGGAGGAATCAGGGGGACGTGGGGACAGGTGTGGGCACAGGGGGGGACGGCCCTCATGGTCAGGGGAGCTTGAATGTGATGGAGGGGTTGGGGGGACATGGGGACAGGTGTGGGCATAGGAGGGGACGCCCCTCATGGTCAGGGGAGCTGGGGTGTGATGGAGGCGTCACCAGCCGGAGGGGAAGGACAGAGACGTGGGGGAGGGATTATGACAGTCATGGCTGCGGCCGTAGGTGACGGAACCCTCGTGACACAGAGGATGAGCCTGTGCCGCTCTGGGCGTGGCGTCTCCTCGGAGACACCGATGTCATCGAGTCTTGTGACCCAGAAACTATAGGAGCGTGCAGTGGCGCGATCTCCGCTCACCGCAGCCTCCGCCTCCCGGGTTCAAGGGATCCTCCTGCCTCCGGCTCCTCAGTAGCTGGATGACAGGTGTCTGCCACCACACCTGGCTAGTTTTTGTATTTTTTTTTTTAGTAGAAACGGGTTTTGCGATGTTGGCCAGGCTGGTCTCGAACTCCTGACCTCAGGTGATCCGCCCGCCTCGGACTCCCAAACAGCTGGGTTTACAGACATGAGCCGCTGTGTCCACCCTGGAAACTGTGCTTTGGCCAAGGTGGAGGAGTTCCAGGCCAGCCTGGCCAACGTGGGGAGACCCCAACCCTCCTCCTAAAAATACAAAGGATGAGCTGGAAACGGTGGCAGGTACGTGTCATCCCAGCTATTTGGGAGGCTGAGGCAGGAGAATCGCTTGAATCCGGGAGGCGGAGGTTGCAGGGAGCGGAGATCGCGCCATTGCACTCAGCCTGGGGGACGGAGGGACACTGTGTCTCAAAACAATATTTAAAAAAAAAAAAAAGAATGAACCTCTGCCGGGCAGTGGCTCTGGGTCCCCAAGAGGGACCTGGCCCCGTCTACGCAGCCAGCCACATAGGGCTCAGGGCAGCTTCTCGTCCCCCTGCACAGCTGGGCAGTGACCTGCCTGGGGCATCCCAGCCCGGCCCCTTTCAGCCCCTGCTTGTCCCTGTCCCCTCCTAGGAACAGGCCCAGGGTCCCAAGGACTCGGGTGGAGAGGGGGTGAAAACGCAGGTCTGGCTGTGTGTAGGGGGGTCTCAGGCCCTTAATTCGAACACTTTGGGAAACCGAGGCCAGAGGATCACTTGAGGTCGGGAGTTCGAGACCAGCCTGGACAACACGGTGAAACCCCGTCTCTACTAAAAATACCCAAATTAGCCGGGCGTGGTGTCTGGTGCCTGTGATCCCAGCTATTCAGGAGGCTGAGGCGGGAGCATCGCTTGAACCCGGGAGGCGGAGGTTGCGGGGAGCCGAGGTGACGCCACGGAACTGCAGCCTGGGGAACGGGAGCAAAACTCCCATCTCAAAACAAATAAACAGAAAAGCCCTTGGTCTCTGTAGCCCTCATCTTAATGGGGATATTCCTTTCTACTAATAACAATTCTTTTTTTCTTTGTTTCTTTTTTTTTTTTCAGAGACACAGGATCGTGTTCTGCCACCCAGAGTCATTTTTTGGATTTTTAGTAGAAACGGGGGTTTCACCGTGTTGGCCAGGCTGGTCTCGAACTCGTGACCTCAGGCGATCCGCCCACCTCGGCCCCCAAAAGTGCTGGGATTACAGGCGTGAGCAGCTGCGCCCGGCTAAGAGCCGCTAATTCCTACGTCCCCCTGTGTTGGGGGCGCAAGGTGGGTTTGCCGTTCGGAGTCTGCTGAGGTGAGTCTCTTCTCTAGGACATGGAGGTTCCTTCCCTTCCTCGATGTCCATTTTTTTTTTTTTTTTTTTTTTTTTTTGAGACAGAGTGTCCCTCTGTCACCCAGCCTGGAATGCGGGAACATGATCTCAGCTCCCTGCAGCCTCCGCCTTCCGGCCTCAGATGATTTTCCTGCCCCAGCCTCCCAGGTAGCCGGGATCACAGGAATGGGCCTCGACGCCCGGATACCTTTTGTATTTTTAGCAGACACGGAGTTTCACCACGTCGGCCAGGCTGGTCTTGAACCCCTGGCCTCAGGCCTCGGCCTCCCAAAGCGCTGGGATGACAGGCGTCAGCCAGCACAGCTGGATCCTCCCGGGTCCCACGTCTAAGAGGAGACCCCAGGCCCGTCTGTAACGTTTTCTCGGATCTGAAAATGTCACCAGATTTAGTCCTTAAAAATCTTGCAGACGACGGGGCGTGGTGGCTCAGGCCTGTCATCCCAGCACTTTGGAAGGCCGAGGCGGGCGGATCAGGAGGTCGAGAGATCGAGACCATCCCGGTCAACATGGTGAAACCCCGTCTCTACTAAAAATACAAAAAATTACCCGAGCACGGTGGCACGTGCCTGTGATCCCAACTACTCGGGAAACTGAGGCAGGAGAATCACCTGAACCCGGGAGGCGGAGGCTGCGGTGAGCCGAGATCGCGCCATCGCACTCCAGCCTGGGTGACAAGAGCGAAACTCCGTCTTAAAAAAAAAAAAAAAAAAAGAGAAAGGAAAAAAACATAGGAACAGAATGGCCATTTTCCTGCCGATGGGACAATATCCAGACTGAAATGTGGCTACGGAAGCTCATCTTCCTCGTGACTGTTGAAAGCAGAGCTCTCCCATCAGAAAAGTAGCTCAGAGACTGATTTATTTTAATTTAATTTCATTTTATATAGACACGGGTTTCTCCATGTTGGTCAGGCTGGTCTCGAACTCCCGACCTCAGGTGATCCACCTACGTCGGCCTCACAAAGTGCTGGGATGACACGTGGGACCTTCCCACGCCCGGCCTTATTTTATTTATTTATTTTATTTTAATTTTATTTTTTAAATCAATTTTTTTGGGGGGCTTTCCGGCGAACCCCGCAGAGCCTGCTATAGAAATTGCAAAAGAGCCGTAACGCTTTTTATTTTGTTTTAGAGACAGAGTCTCAGTCTGTTCCCCAGTCCGGAGTGCGGTGGGGCGATCTCGGCCTCCCGGGTTCAAGCGATCCTCCTGCCTCAGCCTCCCGAGTAGCTGGGATCACAGGCACCCGCCATCACGCCCGGCTCCTTTTCCTATTTTAGCAGACACGGGGTTTAACCGCGTCGGCCAGGCTGGTCTCGAACTGCTGACCCCGTGAATCTGCTGTGAGAGGGGATTGGAGGGAAGGGCGGAGGACTAGCGATGTGTGTTGTGAAGAGGATTCCCGCGTCCACCAGGGGGCGCTGTTGGCTGAGAAATCCCACGGGCCGGACGCACGTGGAGCCTTTTTCAGGAGCTGAGTTTATTAGGCCAGAAAGAAGGAGGGGACAAGAAAAGAGCCCCCCGGGCTGCAGAGACACAGGGGGTTTCTAATGACGGGAAACCCCGGCCGGGCGCGGTGCCTCACGCCTGTCATCCCTGCCCTTTGGGACGCCGAGGCGGGCGGATCGCCTGAGGTCGCGAGTTCAAGACCAGCCTGGCCAACGTGGTGCAAAACCTCATTTCTACTAAAAATACAAATAGCCTGATGTGTGGGGGGCGCCTGCAATCGCAGCTACTGGGGAGACTGAGGCAGGAGGATGCTTGAACTGAAGATGGCGCCACTGCACTCCAGCCTGGGCAACACGTGTGTGTTTTTTTTTTTTTTTTTTGGAGACAAGAGTCTCACTCCATCACCAGGCGCCAGGCTGGAGTGCAGGGGCGCGACCTCCGCCTCCCGGGTTCAAGCGATTCACCCACCTCGGCCTCCCGAGTAGCTGGGACTACAGGCACCCGCCACCACGCCCGGCTAAGTCTTTTGTGTTTTAGTAGAGACGGGGTTCCACCATGTTGCCCAGGGTGGTCTCGATCTCTTGACCTCGTGGTCCACCCGCCTCGGCCTCCCGAGGTGCTGGGATGACGGGCGTGAGCCACCGAGCCCGGCCTGGATTTCCTTGTTTTATCAGCCTGGGAACCTTCTTCAGAGAGATTTCCCGCACCAGGACCCGATACCCCAACAGATGGAGGCGGAGCCCCTGTGGGGGCCAGGCTTGGAGGTGCAGGACCTGGGCCCCCCACCCCCCAGGCAGTGCGTTACGTGGCTCTGCCGCACCCAGGACTGAGGCCCCCGTGCCACGTAGATTCCACACCTGGGAAACCCCACAGCTGGGAGAACCCACGGAATCACCTGTGGGGACCTTTTCACAGTCCTAGGCTGGAGGGTTTGACGTATGATGTCAGGGTGGGGGCTCCCCACAAGGCAGGAGAGACATGCTGCAGTCACCCCAGGAAAGAGGCTTTGGGAACTCCTCGTTGGAGTGGGGGTTGCCCCAGGGGGCTCTGGATCGCTCTCTGTTTCTCTCTCTCTGTGTCTGTCGCTCTCTGTCTCTGTCTCTGTTTCTCTGTCTCTGTCTCTCTGTCTCTGTGTCTCTGTCTCTGTGTCTCTCTGTCCTCTCTCTGTCTCTCTGTCCTCTCTCTCTCTGTGTCTCTGTCTCTCTGTCTCTGTCCTCTCTCTCTCTCTGTCTTTGTCTCTCTCTGTCTCTGTCTCTCTGTCCTCTCTCTGTCTCTGTGTCTGTCTGTCTCTCTCTCTGTCTCTCTCTCTCTGTGTCACTTTCTGTCTCTGTCTCTGTCTCTCTCTCTGTCCCTCTCTGTCTCTGTCTCTCTGTCTCTCTCTCTGTCCTCTCTCTGTCTCTGTCTCTCTGTCTCTCTCTGTCCCTCCCCCTTGCGGTTCCACACGCATGGGAAAGAAAGACGACATAGACACACCATGCTCATCCTTTTTCATGGCTGCATAGTATTCCATAGTAATCCTACATGGCTGTTAGACACGCCGAGCTCATCCTTTTTCATGGCTGCATAGTATTCCATAGTAATCCTACGTGGCTGTTAGACACGCTGAGCTCATCCTTTTTCATGGCTGCATAGTATTCCATAGTAATCCTACGTGGCCGTTAGACACGCCGAGCTCATCCTTGTTCATGGCTGCGTAGTATTCCATAGTAATCCTACATAGGTGTTAGAGACACCGTGCTCATCCTTTTTCATGGCTGCATAGTATTCCATAGTAATCCTACGTGGCTGTTAGACACGCCGAGCTCATCCTTTTTCATGGCTGCATAGTATTCCATAGTAATCCCACGTGGCTGTTAGACACGCCGAGCTCATCCTTGTTCATGGCTGCATAGTATTCCATAGTAATCCTACGTGGCTGTTAGACACGCCGAGCTCATCCTTTTTCATGGTTGCATAGTATTCCATAGTAATCCTACATAGCTGTTAGACAAACCGAGCTCACAGGCACATACTACATTCTGTGTCCTTGTCCTTTCACCGAGATATCAGAGCTGGACGTGCTCACAGGTGGGTCCCAGCTCTCCGTGGCTTTCACCTGTTTAGAAAAGTTTTAAGTTTTCAGCAAGTCGGGTTTTAGTTTAGATGGTGAGTCTGGCTCCGGCCCACGGGGCTCAGACACGGCAGGAAGGACGACCCCACACGGGTCAGGGATAAAGGTGTGTGTTTTCCTTTGTTCTTTGTAGTCTCGTGGCACGATGGCGAGTGGGACGTGCAGGAAGTTGGCTAATTTTTGTATTTTTAGTAGACGTGGCATTTCGACATGTTGGCCAGGCTGGTGTTGAACTCCTGACCTCGTGATCCGCCCGCCGCGGCCTCCCTAAGTGCTGGATGACACACGTCAGCCACAGTGCCTGCCAGGAGCACAGATTTACCCGTGGAAAACCTTTTTTGCTCTCCCTCTTCCTCAGGTTGGTTCCCAGGGTTCGCCTGTGATGGATGGGCCGGCGAGCGCTTCCAGGGCCGTCTCGGGAGTGGGCTGCACAAACACGAACGAGGACTGGATGTCGGCGCTGTGTCCCCGGCTCTGGGACGTGCCCCTCCACCACCTCTCCATCCCAGGTGAGGGCGCGAGGGGTGGGGGCCGGTGCCCCTGTGTTCCCCAGTGGAGGTGCCGGCTGTAGGAGCAATCCTGGGTGTAGGGACATCCCACAAAGCATGCCGATGTGGACACACACATGCACAGTGCACACGTGTGTGCGTATACATAGGCATGGGTATGCACACAACACACCACCATGCACACACATGCATAATGTACTCACATGTATACACGCACACAGAGGTATGCACACATACACATAGGTACACGTATAGACATGCACATAGGTACATGTAGATGGGCACATATGTATACACTTATACACACATGCACACAGCCATGAGTATCCACACATGCATGCAAGCATATACATACACACATATACTCGTGCATATGCACACACGTAAGCACACACGTGTATGCGCACATAGGTACACAATGCACACGTATACACACATGCACATAGGCATGAAGCGTGCACACATGTATAAACATGTATATATGCATGCACATAGGTACATGCACACGCAACACAGGCACATGTCCGTAGAATGCATGCATATGAGCACACATGTATACACGTCTTTATATACACATGCACACAGGCATGAGTATCGACACATGCATGCACATACATATACACATGTACTCATGTGCATGTGCACACACATAAGCACACACATGTGCACGCACACATAGGTACACAATGCACATACGTATAGACACATGCACACAGGCACAAAGCATGCACACACGTCGACACATGTATACACATGTATATATGCATGCACACATACACACGTGCACATAGGTACATGCACACACAAACACGCACGTTTGTAGAATGCATGCATGTTAGCACACATGTATACACGTGTTTATATACACATGCACAGATGCATGAGTATCCACACATGCATGCACATACATACACACATGTACTCATGTGCGTATGCACACATAAGCGCACATGTGCACATAGGTACATGCACACGCAAACACAGGCACATGTCCATAGAATGCATGCATATGAGCACACATGTATACACATGTTTATATACACACGTGCACATAGGCACGAAGCGTGCACACATGTATACACATGTATATATGCATGCACACAGGTACACACGTGCACATGTGCACATAGGTACATGCACACAAACACAGGCACATGTTCGTAGAATGCATGCATCTGAGCACACATGTATACACGTGTTTATATATACATGCACACAGGTATACACATTTGCAGATAGGCATGGATATGCACATAAGCGTACACATGCGTGCAGGCATGTACTCACGTATATACACGCATGCATAGGTACATGCACACACGGATACACACAGGCATGCACACATAGGTACACGTGCACAAGTGTATACATAGCATGCACACACACACATGCACACGTGCACATAGGCACACACCCGCACACATATATACACACATGCATAGGCATATGCACACATGCCCGTATGCAGACATGCCCACACATGTGCGTACTGCGTGGGTCTGTTCTCACGCTCCTAGTAAAGGCATCCCGGAGGCCAGGCATGGTGGATCCCAGCCTGTAATCCCAGCGCTTTGGGAGGCCGAGGCAGCGGATCAGCTGAGGTCAGGAGTTCAAGACCAGCCTGATCAACATGGAGAAACCCCGTCTGTACTAAAAATACAAAATTAGCTGGGCACGGTGGCCTATGCCTGTAATCCCAGCTACTGGGGAGACTGAGGCAGAAGAATCGCTCGAACCTGGGAGGCAGAGGTTGTGATGAGCCGAGATGGCCCCACTGCACTCCAGCGTGGTCAGCAAGAGCAGAACTCGGCCTCAAAACGATAAGAATAGTAATTCCTTATTCACTCACTGCCACCGCAGTCCCAGTCAAGCACGAATCCACATTGTGTCAGTGGATTTCTCCGTTCTCCACATTTAATGTTAACGTCATTTTAGGATATGTGGTCTTTCATGTCTGGCTTCTTAACGTCCTCAAGTTTCATCCACGTTGCGGCCTATGTCCGAGCCTCATTCCTTTTTCATAGCTGAGTAATATTCCACAGCACGAGGGGACGACACTCTGTTGATCTACTTATCCATCAACAGACACCTGGACTATTTCCACGTTTTGGCTACCGCCGAAGGTGTGGTCCATCCGTGCAGTGTTTAAGCTGGGGCTTCAACCACAGGCATCAAGGGTCGGAAATTAAAAATACATTCAGGCCAGGCGCGGTGGCTCACACCTGTAATCCCAGGACTTTGGGAGGCCGAGGCGGGGGCATCACTTGAGCCCCGGAGTTTGAGACCAGCCTGGGCAACACAGTGAGATCCTATGTCTCCGAATAGATGTATATAGATTTATATGTATGAATGTTTATGCATATATATTTATTCACATATAGCTACGTATTATATGTATCTATTCACATATATTTATATACGTATATTTATACATTATATGTATATACCCATACGTAGTTATATATGTATTTAAAATATATATAATATATATTTTATATAAATATATATTACGTATATATTTATATAAGTATACATATATAATATGTATATAAATATATATAATATATATGTATGTAAATATATATAATATGTATTTATAATATATATATTATATATGTATAATAAAATATATATGTATATAAATATATATAAATATATAAAATATATAAATATATTTATAAGTATATAAAAATATATTCTAATAAAATATATAATATATATGTGTATTTTTAACAAAATATATAAAATATATATAAAAATATATATATTTAAATATATATTGTTAAAATATATTTTAAAAATATTTTAAAAAGTTATTAAAATATATTAATTTAAATATATAACATATTTAAATATGTTATATTTTTAAATATATGTTTATTTAAATATATATTATATATTTAAATATATAATATATTCATATATTTAAATATATTTATTTAAATATACATTTAAACATTTAAATATACATATTGGTCAGGATGGTCTCAGTGTCTCGACCTCGTGATCCGCTCGCCTCGGCCTCCTAGAGGGTGGAGAGTGTGAGTGGAGATAAACAGAGTGTCGTCCCCTCGTGCTGTGGAATATTACTCAGTCATGAAAAAGGAACTAGGCTCTGATAGAGGCCGCAACGTGGATGATTGCAGGTGTGAGCCACCTCGCCCGGCCTGTCTGTCCCTCACACGGACACCTGTGACTGGATTTGGGACCTTCCCTACTCAAAGATGACCTCACTTCAACTTAACGACATCCGAGGAGACCCTGTTCCCACACAGGATTTGTCCTCAGGTTCCAGTGGACGTGACTTTGTGGGGACAGCGTAAACCCAGCCCCGCCATGCCCGTGCCAGCGCCGTAAACACGACGCTGAGTGACTCCCGATGGGTGGCGGGGACCGGGCTGACGGGTGACGTGCCCGCGTGTGCTCTGCCCGCAGGGAGCCACGACACCATGACCTACTGCCTCAACAAGAAGTCACCCATTTCCCAGGGGGAGTCCCGGCTGCTGCAGATGCTCAACAGGTGGATCCCCTGCATCACGCGCCCCGTGGTGCTGAAATGGTCCGTCACCCAGGTAGGCTCTGCGCCCCGTGATGCCGAAATGGTCCCCGTCCCGGGTAGGGACTGAGTGATGCCGAGATGGTCCCCGTCCCAGGTAGGGACTGAGTGATGCTGAGATGGTCCCTGTCCCATGTAGGGACTGAGTGATGCTGAGATGGTCCCTGTCCCAGGTAGGGACTGAGTGATGCTCAGATGGTCCCCGTCCCAGGTAGGGACTGAGTGATGCTCAGATGGTCCCCGTCCCAGGTAGGGACTGAGTGATGCTGAGATGGTCCCTGTCCCATGTAGGGACTCAGTGATGCTGAGATGGTCCCTGTCCCATGTAGGGACTGAGTGATGCTGAGATGGTCCCCGTCCCAGGTAGGGACTGAGTGATGCTGAGATGGTCCCCGTCCCAGGTAGGGACTGAGTGATGCCGAGATGGTCCCTGTCCCAGGTAGGGACTGAGTGATGCCGAGATGGTCCCTGTCCCGGGTAGGGACTGAGTGATGCCCAGATGGTCCCTGTCCCATGTAGGGACTGAGTGATGCCGAGATGGTCCCTGTCCCGGGTAGGGACTGAGTGATGCCCAGATGCTCCCTGTCCCGGGTAGGGACTGAGTGATGCTGAGATGGTCCCTGTCCCAGGTAGGGACTGAGTGATGCTGAGATGGTCCCTGTCCCGGGTAGGGACTGAGTGATGCTGAGATGGTCCCCGTCCCGGGTAGGGACTGAGTGATGCTGAGATGGTCCCCGTCCCGGGTAGGGACTGAGTGATGCCCAGATGGTCCCCGTCCCGGTTAGGGACTGAGTGATGCTGAGATGGTCCCTGTCCCAGGTAGGGACTGAGTGATGCTCAGATGGTCCCCGTCCCAGGTAGGGACTGAGTGATGCTGAGATGGTCCCTGTCCCATGTAGGGACTCAGTGATGCTGAGATGGTCCCTGTCCCATGTAGGGACTGAGTGATGCTGAGATGGTCCCCGTCCCAGGTAGGGACTGAGTGATGCTGAGATGGTCCCCGTCCCAGGTAGGGACTGAGTGATGCCGAGATGGTCCCTGTCCCAGGTAGGGACTGAGTGATGCCGAGATGGTCCCTGTCCCGGGTAGGGACTGAGTGATGCCCAGATGGTCCCTGTCCCATGTAGGGACTGAGTGATGCCGAGATGGTCCCTGTCCCGGGTAGGGACTGAGTGATGCCCAGATGCTCCCTGTCCCGGGTAGGGACTGAGTGATGCTGAGATGGTCCCTGTCCCAGGTAGGGACTGAGTGATGCTGAGATGGTCCCTGTCCCGGGTAGGGACTGAGTGATGCTGAGATGGTCCCCGTCCCGGGTAGGGACTGAGTGATGCTGAGATGGTCCCCGTCCCGGGTAGGGACTGAGTGATGCCGAGATGGTCCCTGTCCCGGGTAGGGACTGAGTGATGCCGAGATGGTCCCTGTCCCGGGTAGGGACTGAGTGATGCCGAGATGCTCCCTGTCGCGGGTAGGGACTGAGTGATGCCCAGATGGTCCCTGTCCCATGTAGGGACTGAGTGATGCCGAGATGGTCCCTGTCCCGGGTAGGGACTGAGTGATGCTGAGATGGTCCCTGTCCCATGTAGGGACTGAGTGATGCTGAGATGGTCCCAGTCCCGGGTAGGGACTGAGTGATGCTGAGATGGTCCCCGTCCCGGGTAGGGACTGAGTGATGCTGAGATGGTCCCCGTCCCCCGTCCCATGTAGGGACTGAGTGATGCTGAGATGGTCCCTGTCCCAGGTAGGGACTGAGTGATGCCGAGATGGTCCCTGTCCCGGGTAGGGACTGAGTGATGCTGAGATGGTCCCTGTCCCGGGTAGGGACTGAGTGATGCTGAGATGGTCCCAGTCCCGGGTAGGGACTGAGTGATGCTGAGATGGTCCCTGTCCCATGTAGGGACTGAGTGATGCCGAGATGGTCCCTGTCCCGGGTAGGGACTGAGTGATGCCCAGATGGTCCCTGTCCCATGTAGGGACTGAGTGATGCTGAGATGGTCCCAGTCCCGGGTAGGGACTGAGTGATGCTGAGATGGTCCCTGTCCCAGGGAGGGACTGAGTGATGCTGAGATGGTCCCCGTCCCAGGGAGGGACTGAGTGATGCTGAGATGGTCCCTGTCCCGGGTAGGGACTGAGTGATGCCCAGATGGTCCCCGTCCCAGGTAGGGACTGAGTGATGCTGAGATGGTCCCCGTCCCGGGTAGGGACTGAGTGATGCTGAGATGGTCCCTGTCCCGGGTAGGGACTGAGTGATGCTGAGATGGTCCCCGTCCCGGGTAGGGACTGAGTGATGCTGAGATGGTCCCTGTCCCGGGTAGGGACTGAGTGATGCTGAGATGGTCCCTGTCCCGGGTAGGGACTGAGTGATGCTGAGATGGTCCCTGTCCCATGTAGGGACTCAGTGATGCTGAGATGGTCCCTGTCCCGGGTAGGGACTGAGTGATGCTGAGATGGTCCCTGTCCCGGGTAGGGACTGAGTGATGCTGAGATGGTCCCTGTCCCATGTAGGGACTCAGTGATGCTGAGATGGTCCCTGTCCCGGGTAGGGACTGAGTGATGCTGAGATGGTCCCCGTCCCGGGTAGGGACTGAGTGATGCTGAGATGGTCCCTGTCCCGGGTAGGGACTGAGTGATGCTGAGATGGTCCCTGTCCCATGTAGGGACTGAGTGATGCTGAGATGGTCCCTGTCCCATGTAGGGACTCAGTGATGCTGAGATGGTCCCCGTCCCGGGTAGGGACTGAGTGATGCTGAGATGGTCCCCGTCCCATGTAGGGACTGAGTGATGCTGAGATGGTCCCTGTCCCAGGTAGGGACTGAGTGATGCCGAGATGGTCCCTGTCCCGGGTAGGGACTGAGTGATGCCCAGATGGTCCCTGTCCCATGTAGGGACTGAGTGATGCTGAGATGGTCCCAGTCCCGGGTAGGGACTGAGTGATGCTGAGATGGTCCCCGTCCCAGGTAGGGACTGAGTGATGCTGAGATGGTCCCTGTCCCAGGGAGGGACTGAGTGATGCTGAGATGGTCCCCGTCCCAGGTAGGGACTGAGTGATGCTGAGATGGTCCCTGTCCCGGGTAGGGACTGAGTGATGCCCAGATGGTCCCCGTCCCGGGTAGGGACTGAGTGATGCTGAGATGGTCCCTGTCCCGGGTAGGGACTGAGTGATGCTGAGATGGTCCCCGTCCCGGGACTGAGTGATGCTGAGACGGTCCCTGTCCGAGGGAGGGACTGAGTGATGCTCAGACGGTCCCCGTCCCAGGGAGGGACTGAGTGATGCTGAGATGGTCCCTGTCCCGGGTAGGGACTGAGTGATGCTGAGACGGTCCCCGTCCCAGGTAGGGACTGAGTGATGCTGAGATAGTCCCTGTCCCATGTAGGGACTGAGTGATGCTGAGATGGTCCCTGTCCCAGGGAGGGACTGAGTGATGCTGAGATGGTCCCCGTCCCAGGGAGGGACTGAGTGATGCTGAGATAGTCCCCGTCCCAGGGAGGGACTGAGTGATGCTGAGACGGTCCCCGTCCCAGGGAGGGACTGAGTGATGCTGAGATGGTCCCTGTCCCAGGTAGGGACTGAGTGATGCTGAGATGGTCCCCGTCCCAGGTAGGGACTCAGTGATGCTGAGATGGTCCCCGTCCCAGGGAGGGACTGAGTGATGCTGAGATAGTCCCCGTCCCGGGTAGGGACTGAGTGATGCTGAGACGGTCCCCGTCCCAGGGAGGGACTGAGTGATGCTGAGATGGTCCCTGTCCCAGGGAGGGACTGAGTGATGCTGAGATGGTCCCCGTCCCATGTAGGGACTGAGTGATGCTGAGATGGTCCCTGTCCCAGGGAGGGACTGAGTGGGTCCCCAAGACCTCAGGAGGCAGAGGGTGACCGCACATTTCCAGGGACAGAGGATTAAACACAGAAGCTCCGCTCACCCCGAGCCCCCTCCCCAAAGAAGAGTTGGTCACCATGTTTGTACGTTGTATTATGTTATGTTGTTTTTTGAGATGGAGTCTCGCTCTGCGGCCCAGGCTGGAGTGCAGTGGCTCGATCTGGGGTCACTGCGACCTCAGCCTCTGGGGTTCAAGCGATTCTCCTGCCTCAGCCTCCCGAATATCTAGAATTACAGGCACCCACCACCGCACGTGGTTATTTTTTTGTATTTTAGTAGAGACGGGGTTTCACCACGTTGGCCAGGCCGGTCTTGAACTCCTGACCTCCTGATCCACCCACCTCGGCCTCCCAAAGTGCTGGGATCACAGGCCTGGGCCGTCGCACCCAGGCCCCTCTTTCACCTTTTTATGTTAATCATTTTGCCATTCCTGGCCGGGCATGGAGGTTCATGTCTGCAATCCCAGCAATGTGGGAGGCCGAGGAGGGCGGATCGCCTGAGGTCAGGAGTTCGAGACCAGCCTCTTCAATATGGTGAAAGTCACCTCGACTAAAAATAAAAAAATAAAATAAAATAAATTTACCAGGCCGGGCGTGGTGGGTGACACCTGTGACCCCAGCACTTTGGGAGGCCGAGGCGGGTGGATCACCTGAGCTCAGGAGTTCGAGACCGGCCCCGACCGACACGGCGAAACCCCGTCGCTGTTAAAAATACAAAACTCAGCCAGGCGTGGTGGCGGGTGCCCGTGATCCCGGCTACTCGGGAGGCTGAGGCGGAAATGCTTGAACCCGGAGGGCGGAGGTTGCAATGAGCCGAGATGGCGCCATTGCACTCCAGCCCGGGTGACAAGAGCGAAACTCTGTCTCAAAAAAAAAAAAAAAAAGAAAAGAAAAAAGAAAAAAGCAGCCTGGTGCCCACAGGTGCTGGACGTCACGGAGCAGCTGGACGCCGGCGTGCGGTACCTAGACCTGCGGATTGCCCACATGCTGGACGGCTCGGAGAAGAACCTGCATTTCGTTCATATGGTCTACACCACGGCCCTCGTGGAGGTACGGCCGGGCTGGGGGGGGACGGACGCACGGGGAGCTCCGAGGAGGCGGCCGGCCTCCCGTGGGGAGGTTCCCGACCTTCGGTGGCATGAGGATGTCACCTGCAGGGCGGACAAGAGACCAGGAGATGGTGACCCCTGCTGATCTGTTAGGAGCACTTATGTTCCGTTCTTTTGGAGACACAGTCCCGTTCCGTCCCCCAGGCCGGAGTGCAATGGCGCGATCTCGGGTCACTGCAGCCTCCGCCTCTGGGGTTCAAGGGATTCTCCTGCCTCAGCCTCCCGAGTAGCTGGGATCTCAGGCACCTCCCACCACACCCGGCTGATTTTCGTATTTTTAGCAGAGACCGGGTTTCACCAGGTTGCCAGGGCTGGTCTCGAACTCCCGACCTCGGGTGATCCATCCGCCTCGGCCTCCCAAAGTGCCGGGATGACAGGCGTGAGTCACCGCGCCCGGCGTATGGAGAGTTGTTGACCGACGTGAATTTCTTCATTTCTTTTTTCCTTTTTCTTTTCTTTCTATTTTTTTTGAGACGCAGTTTCGCTCTTGTCACCCAGGCTGGGGTGCAATGGCGCCATCTCGGCTCACCGCAACTTCCGCCTCCCGGGTACAGGCAATTCTCCTGCCTCAGTCTCCCCAGTACCTGGGATTACAGGCACGCGCCACCGTGCCCAGCTAATTTTTGTATTTTTAATACAGACGGGTTTTAACCATGTTGACCGGGATGGTCTCGATCCCTTGACGTCGTGATCCACCCGCCTCGGCCTCCCAAAGTGCTGGGATTCCAGGCTTGAGCCATCACGCCCGGCTAATTTTTGTATTTTTAACAGAGACGGGGTTTCACCAGCTTGGCCCGGCTGGTCTCGAACTCCCGACCTCAGGGGATCCGCCCGCCTCGGCCTCCCAAAGTGCCGGGATGACAGGCGTGAGCCTCCGTGCCCGGCCCTCTTGGTCTTTTGCAGAACGGAGTCACTTATGTCCCTGAGGCCCGTCCAGGGTTTGTTCAGTGTATTCTGTTCCTGGCTGCCAGAGGGGCTTCTAAAGTCTGAACATGACAAGTCACCGTCCCAAGGGCTGCCCGTGGCTCCCTGTGACAGCACGTCAGGCACCCACAGGCCTCGGGGTGCAAAGGCGTTGTGCCCACCCCACGCCCCTCGCTCGCTCTGCACCTGCTGTATCTGACTCATTCCCTGGACTCCTCAGAGGTCAGAAGTCTGCATGTGAAGTGGCTTCTGGTTGAGGTGTCCACAGACAAATGGACACGTGTGGAGAAACACAGACACGCCTACACACACACACACACACACACACACACGTGCACATAAACAGGTGTGTGTGCAGAGGCTCACGCGTGGAGACAGGCACACGTGTGCACACAGGATCGGGCAGACAGACCAGGAGCTGCGGCTCACGCCTGTGATCCCAGCATTTTGTGGGACCGAGGCGGGCGGATCACGAGGTCGAGAGATCGAGACCATCCCGGTCAACACGGTGAAACCCCGTGTCTACTAAAAATACAAAAAATTAGCTGGACACGGTGGCGCGTGCCTGTAATCCGAGCTACTGGGGAGACTGAGGCAGGAGAATTGCCTGAACTCAGGTGGGGGAGGGTGCAGTGAGCCGAGATTGCGCCATTGCACTCCAGCCTGGGCGACACAGTGAGACTCCATCTCAAAAAAATAAAACAAAACAGGCAAAGACACCCACACAGACACACACATATTCACGCACACACACATACGTGCACGCATGTACAGACATCCACACGCTTGCTTTTTTTTTTTGAGACGGGGCCTTGCTCTGTCACCCAGGCTGGCATAAGGGGGGTGTCATCGTACGTCACGGCAGCCGCAGCCTCCTGAGGAGCTGGGACCGCAGGCACGCACTGCCACACTGGGCTCGTTCTTAAGGTTTTTGTAGACATGGGGTCTTGCTGTGTTGCCCAGGCGGGTCTTGAACTCCTGGGCTCACGCAGTCCTCCCACCTCGGCCTCCGATGGTGCTGGCATCGTGTGACCCCCGGCACCCAGACCAGCTCCCCCTTTTTCCGCTTGCTCTGCCCCCTACTCTGGCCCCTTCCTGCCCTGCCCGCCTCTTTGCCTCCCCGCCCCGAGCTTGGTATCCATCCTGTATTTTTTTTTTTGAGACAGTCCTTGTCTTTTGCCAAGGCTGGAGTGCAGTGGTGCCATCTTGCCTCACTGCAGCCTCCGTCTCCCGGGTTCAAGCGATTCTCCTGCCTCAGCCTCCTGAGTAGCTGGGATGACAGGTGCCCCCCAGCACGCCCGGCTAATTTTTGTATTTTTAGTAGAGACGGGGTATCGCCACGTCGGCCAGGCTGGTCTTGAACTCCCGACCTCAGGTGATCCGCCCGCCTCGCCTTCCTAAAGCGCTGGAATGACGGGCGTGACCCATCGAGCCCGGCCTTCCCCGAGCCCTGGGACTCATGCAGGACTCTGACCCCCACCCCCCCCCACCCACCCCTCCCAGGACACGCTCACGGAGATCTCAGAGTGGCTCGAGCGACATCCTCGCGAGGTGGTCATCCTGGCCTGCAGAAACTTCGAGGGGCTGAGCGAGGACCTGCACGAGTACCTCATCTCCTGCATCAACACCATCTTCGGGGAGATGCTGTGTCCCCGCGGGGTGAGCGACGAGGGAGGACGACGGCCACGGGCCTGTCCCTGGGCTGGGGGATCGTCACCGTCACCCTGCATTTGGTTACCTGGTTCCCCCCCCCGGGGTGTGGCCGCAGCCGTGATCCCTGCGGCAGGTGGAGTTTTGAACGACAGCAGCTCCCCCCGGACGCGGGGGCTGACATCTGTGATCCCAGCACTTCGGGAGGCCGGCGCGGGCGGATCGCAAGGTCAGGAGATCGAGACCAGCCTGCTCAATACAGTGAAACCCCGTCTGTACTAAAAATACAAAAAAACTAGCCGGGCGTGGTGGTGCGCGCCTGTAATCCCAGCTACTGGGGAGGCTGAGGCAGGGGAATCGCTTGAACACGGGAGGCGGAGGTTGCGGTGACCTGAGATTTGTGCCATCGCACCCCAGCCCGGGCGACGGAGTGAGACTCCAAAAAAATAAAAATAAAGGAAAAATTAGGTCGGGCGCCCCGAGGTTGGTATCCCTACTAAAAATACAACAATTAGTCTGGCGTGGTGGCGGGCGCCTGTCATCCCAGCTCCTTGTAAAAAGTTTTTAATTTTTTAAAAATCTTCATTTGTTTATTTAATTGTATATGTATTTCCTGAGACAGCATTTCCGTCCGTCGCCCAGGCTGGAGTGCAGTGGCGCGACCTCGGCTCCCTGCAGCCTCCACCTCCCGGGTTCAAGCGATCCTCCTGCCTCAGCCTCCGGAGTAGCCGGGATTACAGGCACGCACCACCGTGCCCAGCTCATTTTTTGTATTTTTAGTAGAAACGGGGGTTTCACCATGTTGACCGGGATGGTCTCGATCTCTCGACCTCGTGATCCACCCGCCTCGGCCTCCCAAAGTGCTGGGACGACAGGCGTGAGCCGCCGCGCCCGGCCTTATTTTTTATTATTATAAATAATAACTTATTTATTATAAAATTTACTATTATAAACATAATATAAATAATTTAAAGATAATTTGTATAATAAGTTATTATTATAACCGTTTATTTATTTAATCTGGGCTCACTGCAATCTCCACTTCCTGGGTTCAAGCCATTCTCCTGCCTCAGCCTCCTGAGTAGCTGGGATTACAGGTGTCCCCCACCACGCCCCGGTAATTTTTGTATATTTAGTAGAGACGGAGTTTCACCATGTCGGCCAGGCTGGTCTCAAACCCCTGACCGCGTGATCTGCCCACATGGGCCCCAGAAAGCGTTGGGAGGGCAGATGGTAACCCACCTCGCCAGGCTGAGGGGTGCTTTCTGAGTGGGTCCCCATGTGCCAGGGGCAGCTTTTGAGGAAAACAGGTGCCCTGGCCGGGTGAGGGTCTCAAAGCCGTGGTGGGGCCGGGGGGGCTCTAGTTTTGACCACACTCCCCAGCTTCCTGGACCCTCCTCTGAGCCAGAAACCCTCCATGTTGATGAAAAAGCCGGACTCTGCTGGGCATCGTGGCTCACACATGTAAAAAAAAAAAAAATTAGGCGCAGTGGCTCACGCCTGTCATCCCAGCACCTTGGGAGGCCGAGGTGGCTGGATCACGAGGTCAAGAGATCGAGACCATCCCGGTCAACACGGTGAAACCCCGTCTCTACTAAAAATAAAATAAATTAGCTGGGCATGGTGGCGCATGCCTGTAATCCCAGCTACTCTGGATGCTGAGGCAGGAGAATGGCTTGAACCCGGGAGGTGGAGGTTGCCGTGAGCCGAGATTGTGCCTTGTGATCCGCCCACTTCGGCCTCCCAAAGTGCTGGGATTACGGGTGTGACCCACCATGCCGGGTAAATTTTTTTTTTTTTAAAGATGGGGTTTCACCATATTGGCCAGGCTGGTCTCCAACCCCTGACCTGTGATGATCCGCGCACCTCGGCCTCCCAAAGTGCTGGGATTACGGGTGTGAGTCACCATGCCGGGTAAATTTTTTTTTTTTTTTAAAGATGGGGTTTCACCATATTGGCCAGGCTGGTCTCGAACCCCCGACCTGTGGCGATCCGCCCACCTCGGCCTCCAAAATTGCTGGGATTACAGATCAGGTGATCTGCCCGCTTCAGCCTCCCAAAGTGCTGGCATTACAGGCGAGAGCCACCGTGCCCGACCTAATTTTATATCTTTTAGTAGAGACGGGGTTTCAGCAAGTTGGCCAGGCTGGTCTCGAACCCGTGACCTGTGGTGATCCGCGCACCTCGGCCTCCCAAAGTGCTGGGATTACGGGTGTGAGCCACCGTGCAGGGTAAATATTTTTTTTTTTTAAAGATGGGGTTTCACCATATTGGCCAGGGTGGTCTCGAACTCATGACCTCTGGTGATCCGCCCACCTCGGCCTCCCACAGTGCTGGAATTACGGGTGTGACCCACCGTGCCGGGTAAATTTTTTTGTTTTTTAAAGATGGGGTTTCACCATATTGGCCAGGCTGGTCTCGAACCCGTGACCTGTGGTGATCCGCGCACCTCGGCCTCCCAAAGTGCTGGATGACAGGCCAGAATGTCACGTGTGGTTTCTACGCACACGTGTTTCCCTCCCCGCTCCGCGGGGCCCCGACCTCCTGGGTGCCCCCCACGTCCCCGGCTCTCCTCTCTCCCGTGCACCTCTGAACCCGGGTTCTTTGCAGGAGGTGCCGACCCTGAGGCAGCTGTGGGCGCGCGGCCAGCAGGTCATCGTGTCCTATGAGGACGAGAGCGCCCTGGGCCGGCACCGGGAGCTATGGCCGGGAATCCCCTACTGGTGGGGGGACCAGGTGAAGCCCGACGCCCTCATCCGATACCTGGAGACCATGAAGAGCTGTGGCCGTCCAGGTGCGAGGCCACGCCCCGTGGGGGCGGGGTCCACGTACGAGGACACATCTTGTGGGGGCGGGGCCCACTTACGACGTCACGTCCAGTGGGGGCGGGGCCCACGTACGACGTCACTTCCAGTGGAGGCGGGGCCCACGTACGACGTCACTTCCCCTGGGGGCGGGGTTCATGTACGAGGAGGTGTCCCATGGGGGCGGGGTCCACGTAGGAGGAGGTGTCTTGTGGGGGCGGGGGTGAGGACCTACGTACTACTACGTCACGTTCCCCTGGGGGTGGGGTCTACTACAACATCATCTCCCGTGGGGGGCGGGGTCCACTATTGAGGTCACGTCCCTTGGGGGCGGGGTGCACGTAGGAGGTCCCGTCCCGTGGGGGTGGGGTCCACGTACGACGTCACGTCCTGTGGGGGTGGGGGGGGTGGGTCCACATACGACGTCACGTCCCATGGGGGCGGGGTCCACGTATGAGGACATGTCCCGTGGGGGCGGGGTCCACGTATGAAGACGTGTCTTGTGGGGGCGGGGTCCACGTATGAAGACGTGTCTTGTGGGGGCGGGGCCCACGTACGACGTCACGTCCCATGGGGGCGGGGTCCCCGTACGCGTTAGCGTCCCGTGGGGGCGGAGTCCACGTATGAGGTCCCGTCCCGTGGGGGCGGGGTCCACGCAGCTCTCCGAGACTCCCTGCATCAGGCCGGGTGCACGGACTCGCCTTCACCTCTACGTGAAAACAGTTTAAAAGTAAACCGAGGCCGGGGCGTGGTGGGTCACGCCTGTCATCCCAGCACTTTGGGAGGCCGAGGTTGCTGGATCACCTAAGGTCAGGAGTTCGAGACCAGCCTGGCCATCATGGAGAAATCCCATCTTTATTTTAAATTAAAAAAAAAAAAAAAAAAACAACTTTTTTTTTTTTGAGACAGGGTTTCACTCCTCTCCCCCAGGCTGGAGTGCAACCCCATAATCTCATTTCACTGCATCCTCCGCCTCTCGGTTTCAAGCGATTCAGTTCTCCTGCCTCGGCCTCCCGAGTAGCTGGGATTACAGCCATGCGCCACCACACCCAAACTAATGTTTTGTATTTTTACCAGAGACGGGGTTTCACCATGTTGGCCAGGCTGGTCTTGAACTCCTGACCTCAGATGGTCTGCCCGCCTCAGCCTCCCAAGGTGCTGGGATTACAAGCGTGAGCCACGACGCCCGGCCTAGAAAAAAGTCTTAAAAGCCACTGAGAGAACGTGGCCTTAACCTTCTGCTGTCTTCTGGGCTTGGACTGAGCACAACTGGACAACACAGGGGCACGGGAACCTGCCTACCCCTGGGGGGGCTCCTTCCAGGACAGCCTGCAGCCCTCCTCGCCCTGCCCTGCAGAGATTCTGCCTCAGCAGATCTAAGTGGACCCTCAAAAATGTGCATTTCTCATTATGCAGGGACCCCATTTCCACAATCACTGGTCGGTGTCAACACTATAAGCCTCATGACAAATGGCACAGACTGTGCCGAAGGCAACAGCGTTCTTCTCTGTCTCCCACACGGGGATTAGGACGTGGACGTCTTTGGGGCCATTATTCTGTCTCCCATATGGGGATTAGGATGGGCACGTCTTTGGGGCCATTATTGTGTCTCCCACATGGGGATCACGACGTGGACGTCTTTGTGGCCATTACTGTGTCTCCCACATGTGGATTAGGACGTGGACGTCTTTGGGGCCATTATTGTGTCTCCCACATATGGATCACGACGTGGACGTCTTTGGGGCCATTACTGTGTCTCCCACATGTGGATTAGGATGTGGACGTCTTTGGGGCCATTATTGTGTCTCCCACACGGGGATTAGAATGTGGACGTCTTTGGGGCCATTATTCTGTCTCCCACATGTGGATTAGGACGTGGGCGTCTTTGGGGCCATTATTCTGTCTCCCACACGGGGATCAGGACGTGGATGTCTTAGGGGCCATTCTTCTGTCTCCCACATGGGGATCAGGATGTGGGCATCTTTGGGGCCATTATTCTGTCTCCCACATGGGATCACGACGTGGGCATCTTTGGGGCCATTATTGTGTCTCCCACATGGGGATTAGGACGTGGATGTCTTAGGGGCCATTATTGTGTCTCCCACATGGGGATCAGGACGTGGGCATCTTTGGGGCCATTATTCTGTCTCCCACACGGGGATTAGGACGTGGACGTCTTTGGGGCCATTATTCTGTCTCCCACATGGGGATCAGGATGTGGGCATCTTTGGGGCCATTATTGTGTCTCCCACACGGGGATCAGGATGTGGGCATCTTTGGGGTCATTATTGTGTCTCCCACATGGGGATTAGGACGTGGACGTCTGGGGCCATTATTCTGTCTCCCACATGGGGATTAGGATGTGGACGTCTTTGGGGCCATTACTGTGTCTCCCACATGTGGATTAGGACGTGGACGTCTTTGGGGCATTATTCTGTCTCCCACACGGGGATTAGAATGTGGACGTCTTTGGGGCCATTATTCTGTCTCCCACATGTGGATTAGGACGTGGGCATCTTTGGGGCCATTATTCTGTCTCCCACACGGGGATTAGGACGTGGACGTCTTTGGGGCCATTATTCTGTCTCCCACATGGGAATCAGGACGTGGGCATCTTTGGGGCCATTATTCTGTCTCCCACATGTGGATTAGGACGTGGGCATCTTTGGGGCCATTATTCTGTCTCCCACATGTGGATTAGGACGTGGGCATCTTTGGGGCCATTATTGTGTCTCCCACATGGGGATTAGGATGTGGGCATCTTTGGGGTCATTATTGTGTCTCCCACATGGGGATCAGGACGTGGGCATCTTTGGGGCCATTATTCTGTCTCCCACATGGGAATCAGGACGTGGGCGTCTTTGGGGTCATTATTCTGTCTCCCACATGGGAATCAGGACGTGGGCATCTTTGGGGCCATTATTCTGTCTCCCACATGGGGATCAGGACGTGGGCGTCTTTGGGGTCATTATTCTGTCTCCCACATGGGGATCAGGACGTGGGCGTCTTTGGGGCCATTATTCTGTCTCCCACATGGGGATCAGGATGTGGGCATCTTTGGGGCCATTATTGTGTCTCCGACATGGGGATCACGACGTGGGCATCTTTGGGGTCATTATTCTGTCTCCCACATGGGGATCAGGACGTGGGCATCTTTGTGGCCATAATTACTGAGAATTGAACCTCTAACCATGTGAGTAAGAGGGGCAAACGGGCGGGTGGAGGCAGGTGGCCGTGTGACGTCTCCCTCACCCCACTGTGCTAGGAGGGCTGTTTGTGGCCGGCATCAACCTGACTGAGAACCTGCCGTACATCCTGGCGCACCCGTCGGAGTCCCTGCAGAAGCTGACGACGCCCAACCTGCCGCGCCTGTGCGCCTGGGTCCGGGAGCAGTGCCCGGGGCCGGGGTCCCGCTGCACCAACGTCATCGCGGGAGACTTCGTGGGCAAAGACGGCTTCGTCAGCGACGTCGTGGCACTGAACCGGAAGCTTCTGTGGTGCTGATGGGGACCCTTCCGAAGTCCGGGACGCGGCGGCTGCAGGTTCACCCCTGACGTCCCAAGTATTGTGCCTTATGCGTGGGTTAGATGTTGGTGATCAGGGGACCGGTCGTATGCCTTCCTTTTCTTTTTGTTAAGAAATAGAGATGGGATCTTGCCGTGCTGGCCAGGCTGGTCTCGATGGGGTCTTGCCGTGCTGGCCAGGCTGGTCTCGATGGGGTCTTGACCTTGTAGCCTCAAGTAATCCTCCCAGCTCAGCCTCCCAAAGTGATGGGATGACTTATTTCTATATCCTTCCTGCTGTGGTGTCTGCAGCCCACACAGACCCCGGGAAAGACGGTCGTCCCACAAATCAGTGATTGATAAACACAGTAACAACGCCCCTGGGAGCCGGCCTCCCCCGTGCAAGCCAGCAACCCCCTTGGGTCGCCCCCACACACACCAAGCCAGGGTTTCCTTTCTCGACACAGAGTCTCACTGTGTCGCCCAGGCTGGAGCGCGGTGGCGCGATCTCCGCCCACCGCCACCTCCGCCGCCCGGGTTCAAGCGATTCTCCTCCCTCAGCCTCCTGAGTAGCTGGGACGACAGGTGCACACCCCCCACACCCAGCAGATTTCCGTAGTTTTGGTGGAGACGGGGTTTCACCATGTTGCAGGGTCTGGTTTCAAACTCCTGGGCTCAGGTGATCCTCCCACCTCAACCTCCCATGTACGGTCGGACCTCAGGTGTCGGCCACCAGGCCCAGCTAATTATTTTTTTTCTTGTAGAGACGGGGGCTGGCTCTGTTGCTCAGGTTGTTCACTGACACAGTCACAGCTCCGTGTAACCTTCAACCCCTGAGCTCGAGCCGTCCCCCTTCCTCAGCTTCCCAAGTACCTGGGACTGTCGGTGTGACCCACGATGCCCAGGTAATGATGATTATTAATTTTGAGATGGAGTCTCGTCCGGTCGCCCAGGCTGGAGCGCGGAGGTGCCATCCCGGCTCAGTGCATCCCCCGCCTCCTGGGGTTCAAGAGATTCTGGCGCGTCGACCTCCCGAGCAGCCGGGATTACAGGTGCCCGCCAGCACGCCCGGAGTACTTTTTGTGTTTTTTTGGTAGACGCGGCGTTTCTTTTTAAAATTTATTTATTTATTTTTTGAGATGGAGCCTTGCTCTGTCGCCCAGGCTGGAGTGCAATGCGGTGATCTCCGCTCACAAGCTGCGCCTTCCGGGTTCAAGCCATTCTCCTGCCTCAGCTACTCCAGAGTAGCTGTAATGACAGACACGTGCCACCACGCCCAGCTAATTTTTTTTTTTTTTTTTTTTTTTTTTTTAGTAGAGACGAGATTTCACGATATTGAACAGGGCGGTCTCGAACTCCTGACCTCAGGTGATCCACGTGGCTCACCCTCCTGCTGGGATTACAGGTGTGAGCCACCGCGCCCGATGAGACGGGTTTTCACCGTGCTACCCCGGCTGGTCTCGAACTCCTGACCTCAGGTGATCCACCCGCCTGGGCCTCCCAAAGTGCTGGGATGACAGACGTGACCCACCGCGCCCGGCGACTCCCGTCTCTACTAAACATACAAAAAAATGATCTGGGCGTGGTGCGGGCGCCTGTAATCCCAGCTACTCGGGAGGCTGAGGCAGGAGGATCGCTTGAACCCGGGAGGCGGAGGCTGCAGGGAGCCGAGATCGCATCACTGGACTCCAGCCTGGGCAGCAAGAGTCCTTTTAAAAAATAAAAAACACACACAAACAAAGACGCACTCATCGGCCGTACCCACGGCTTCGTCACCCCACGACTACGCCCCGTTACAGGCGATTTCCCCGACGTCCGTCGGCTCCGAATCCCCGTCCTGAAACGCTGGGGTCTCTGTCGGCGTCTCTTCCACACAACCAGGGGATTCATGGACCATTTAAATAAATGAACGGGATTAAACCCAAATGTGTGTATCTGGTTTTCAGGACAGGACACGGGAGGCATCTTTACAAAACGTTCATCCGGGCCGGGCGCGGCGGCTCACACGTGTCGGCCCTGCACTTTGGGAGGCCGAGGTGGGTGGATCACCTGAGGTCAGGAGTTCGAGGCCAGCCTGGCCAGCCTGGGGAAACCCCAGTCTTTATGAAAAATACAAAAAAATTGAGCTGGGAGGTGGCGGGCAGCTGTAGTCCCAGCTACTCGGGAGGCTGGGGCAGGAGAATAGCTTGAACCCGGGAGGCGGAGGTTTGGGTGAGCCGAGGTCGCGCCATTGCACTCCGGCCTGGGTGACAAGAGCGAAACCTTGTCTCGAAAAAAAAAAAAAAAGAAAAAAAAAATCTAGGCGCAGTGACTCATGCTTGTAATCCCAGCACTTTGGGAGGCCGAGGCCGGTGGATCATCCGGTCAGGAGTTCGAGGCCAGCCTGGCCAACATGGTGAAACCCCGTCTCTACTTTAAATACAAAAATCAGCTGGGTGTGGCGGAGGCCGCCTGTAGTCCCAGCTACTCGGGAGGCTGAGGCAGGAGGATCGCTCGGATGCGTGAGGCGGAGGTTGCCGTGAGCAGAGATCCCGCCCCTGCAGTCCGGCCTGGGGGACGGAGAGTCTGTCTCAGAGCAAACGAACACGTACGAGGTGTTTGTTTCCATGTGGACAGAGGCCCGGTTTATAGTCATTTCACCAGCACGGCCGTGGGCCACGAGGCCAGTCTGTGAGCACAGATAGCCGGGCGGAGGGGCCACGTGTGCCCACGAGGGCCACGGGTCACAGCGGAGGCAGGAGACGCCGGACATGCTGCTCACAGAGGCAGAAACACAGGTTCGTGTCCTGCTGTCGGAACATTCCGAGGGCCCAGTGGAATTGTGTGGCGTGGACTCTGGGGAGGCCCACGTCGGAGCATCCGTGAGCGTGCCACCGGCCTGCGTGGTTATCACAGCAAGCGCCTGGAACAGAGAGGCTGACAAAGGGGACCCCACTCGTGACACAGCGATGCCACCGCACCCCAGGCCTCCTCGGGCTCCTGCTCATCCTGGAAAGAGCTTCCGGAATTTGCCGTAGGCCGAGTGGCTGATGACGACCCTGACGTCGGCTGCTCCGTCCTGGGGGATCACGTCCACCTGCTGGACCGTGGCCTCCTCATGCAGCCAGCTGAGCCGCAGCGTGTGGAAAAGCAGAACCCGTAAGTATTCGGTGAGTTTCATGAAAATTAGGCTAAACACAGCTTAGCCCAGGCCGGGCGCGGTGGCTCACGCCTCTAATCCCAGCACTTTGGGAGGCCGAGGAGGGTGGATCAAGAGGTCGGGAGTTCGAGACCAGCCTGGTCAACGTGGGGAAACCCCGTCTCTACTAAAAATACAAAAAAATTCGCCAGGCGTGACGGGGCAGCAGCCTGTAATCCCAGCTACTCAGGAGGCTGAGGCAGGACAACTGCTTGAACCCGGGAGGCGGAGGTTGCTGTGAGCCGAGATCCTGACACTGAACTCCTGACTGGGCGACAGAGCAAGACTCTGCCGTCCCCACGAAAAAAAAAAACCAAGAGGGCCGGGCGCGGTGGCTCAAGCCTGTAATCCCAGCACTTTGAGAGGCTGAGGCAGGCGGATCGCCTGAGGTCGGGAGTCACCCAGGCTGGAGTGCAATGGCGCGACCTCGGCTCACCACAGCCTCCACCTCCCGGGTTCAAGCGATTCTCCCGCCTCAGCCTCCCGAGTAGCTGGGATCACAGGCACGCGCCATCGCGCCCACCTAATTTTTGTATTTTTAGTAGAGACGGGGTTTCACCATGTTGACCGGGATGGTCTCGATCTCTTGACCTCGTGACCCACCCGACTCGGCCTCCCAAAGTGCTGGGATTACAGGCCTGAGCCACCGCGCCCGGCCCTTAATTTTTTTTTTTTTGCACAGAGTCTGGCTCCGTCTCCCAGGCTGGCGTGCAGTGGCGTGACCTCAGCTCACTGCAGCCTCCGCCTCCCGGGTTCAAGCCGATTCTCCCGCCTCAGCCTCCCGAGTAGCTGGGATCACAGGCACCCGCCAGCACGCCCGGCTAATTTTTGTATTTTTAGTAGAGACGGGGTTTCGCTGTGTTGCCCGGGCTGGTCTCGAACTCCCGACCTCGGCTTTTCTGCCCACGTCGGGTTCCCAACGTCTTGGGCTGACAGGTGTGAGCCGCCGCGCCCGGCTGCAGCCTGCTTTGGTATTGGTAGGGAGTCCTATACCCTTAGGGTGTCGGTGAGCACAGATTAGGCGCCTGCTGTATGCACACTGACTCCCCAGTACACATTTGCTGTGAAACCATTCAGAAAAGTCTCACCTCGTCTCTGCATCCTAAAGCTCCCGGGGACCCCACAGCTCCTTCTGCACCCCCAGGGAGCCCCTCTCTGAGCCAGAAACCGGCCGGCAGAACACCGTCCACCCCCCCACACCCCGGGAGGGTGCCGCTCACCTGAGCTGGGCCCCGGCCAGCTGGACGCGGAGGGTGAGGACCTGTCTCCCCGTGGCCTTCAACACGGCCGCGTCCAGCTCCGCCTTCAGCTCCTGGAGCCCGTGCCCCAGCAGGGCAGACACGGGCACGACGTTCGGTTCCGTGGCGTGGTACCTGCGAGGGCGGGGAGGCCACGGAGCCCGCTCAGCCTCGGGGCGGCAGGCTGGCAGAAAGCAGGTCCCCGACTCAGGCGCCCGCCGGGCACAGCCTGGGGCAGCAATGTCTGCCTCCCGGGCCAAAGCGGTTCTCCCGGCCTCGGCCTGCGTGCCAGCGGCCAGCAGTTCACACGAGGGCAGGGTCTCCAGCGCCTGCAGGGGAAGGCGTGACGCGCGCGGGCGGCAGGGCTGGACTCACCCGGGCACCAGGTCCACCTTGTTGTGAACCTCCAGCATGGAGTCCAGCAGCGGGGCGGGCAGCCGCAGGCCACGTAGCGTGGACACGACGCTGGCTTTCTGGAGCTCCGCCTCGGGGTGGCTGACGTCCCTCACGTGCAGGATCAGGTCCTGCGGGGGCCGGGAGTACACTCAGGACCCCAACCCACCAAGCTCTGTCGCCCCGGCTGGAGTGCGATGGCGCGATCTCGGCTCACTACAACCTCCGCCTCCCGGGTTCCAGCGGTTCTCCTGCCTCAGCCTCCCCAGTAGGTGGGACTACAGGCGCCCGCCCACCATGCCCAGCCAATCTTTGTCTTTTTAGCAGAGACGGTTTCACTGTGTTGGCCGTGCTGGTCTTGAACCCCTGACGTCGAATGATCCACCCGCCTCGGCCTCCCAAAGTGCCGTGAGGAGAGGCCTGAGCCGCCGCTCCCGGCCCTGACTTTGTACACGGGCTCATCACGGTGGCTGAGTGTGGGTGAGGCTGGGACCACTGCTCAGCCTCTGCCCCGGGGACAAGGGACGCTTGGGGGACGCTAAGTCTGAGGCCGAGAAGGCAGTTGTTATCTGCGTGGCCCGAGTGGTGCAGGTGTCCCAGAGCCTGGCCCCTGGTCCGAGTGGGCATCCCAGAGCCTGGCCCCTTGACTAAGAGGGTGTCTGAGAGACGGTCCCCCAAGTGGGCATCCGAGAGCCGGTCCCTTGGCTGACGGGGCGTCTGACAGACGGTCCCTGGTCCGAGTGGGTGTCTGAGACCCCGGCCCCTGGTCTGATTGCGTGTCTGAGACCCTGGCCCCTGTCTCAGTGGGTGTCCAAGAGCCCAGCCCCCCACAGCCCTGACTCACCGAGTGGGCCACGTCTTCCAGGGTGGCGGAGAAGGACTCGATGAGCCCGTGTGGCAGCTGGGACAAGAACCCGATGGTGTCCACGTACAGGACGGTCAGGCGTGAGGGCAGCGTGCCTGCGTGGGCCGTGACGTCCAGTGTGGCAAACAGCTGGTCCCGTGGCTGCAGGGCGGCGTCTCCTGTCAGCGCCTTGATCAGCGTGGTCTTCCCTGGGAGGGCGTGGAGGTCAGGGGTGCAGGGAGCCGTGGGTTCCAACCCCCGGAGCCATACCCGGGCCCTCGGAGTGGAGACCACAGCACCGTCGGGTGGCTGCACCCAGGGTGACAGGTCCCCGAGCTCCCTGGGACCACACACGACATGCGGGACTAAGCCACTGTGGCTGCTCTCAGGCCGGATAAAGCAGGGCCGCCATGTAGACACAGGGGAGCTGGTGGTGTAGACAGGTGAGAGTGAGATGGTGTGGATGGGAAGATGGTGAAGATGGAGGGAGGTGGTGGTGAGGACGGGGCGGTGGTGACGTAGACGGCAGGATGGGGATAATGTCATTGTCACCACGGCTGCCGCACCCACCACAAGGACCACGGGACCCCCTTTCCCTGGGTGAATCTGCACCAGACCTGGTGTATGCACCACGGGGAGCCCCCTCCCTGTGCAAGTCCTCACCACAGCTGGTGTACCCCGCACAGAGACCATGGAACCCCACCTCTGGGTCAGTTCAGCTGGTGTACCCCACCACGGAGGCCACGGAACCAACTCCCATGGACACGTCTTCACCACAGTTGGTGTACCCCCCACAGAGACCACGGAACCCCTTCCCCTGGACACGTCCTCACCACAGTTGGTATACCTCACCACGGAGACCACGGAACCCCCTCCCGTGGACACGTCTTCACCACAGTTGGTATACCTCACCACGGAGACCATGGAACCCCCTCCCGTGGACACGTCCTCACCACAGTTGGTATACCTCACCACGGAGACCACGGAACCCCCTCCCATGGACACATCCTCACCACAGTTGGCATAGCCGTCACGGAGACCACGGAACCCCCTTGCCTGGACACGTCCTCACCACAATTGGTGTACCCCACACAGAGACCACGGTACCCCTTTCCCTGGACACGTCTTTACCACAGTTGGTGTACCCCCCACGGAAACCATGGAACCCCCTCCCGTGGACATCTGTTCACCACAGTTGGTGTACCCCCCACGGAGACCACGGAACCCCCTCCCGTGGACACGTCCTCACCACAGTTGGTGTACCCCACCACGGAGACCACGGAACCCCCTCCCGTGGACACGTCCTCACCACAGTTGGTGTACCCCCCACGGAGACCACGGAACCCCCTCCCGTGGACACGTCTTCACCACAGTTGGTATACCTCACCACGGAGACCATGGAACCCCCTCCCGTGGACACGTCCTCACCACAGTTGGTATACCTCACCACGGAGACCATGGAACCCCCTCCCGTGGACACGTCCTCACCACAGTTGGTATACCTCACCACGGAGACCACGGAACCCCCTCCCATGGACACGTCCTCACCACAGTTGGCATAGCCGTCACGGAGACCACGGAACCCCCTTGCCTGGACACGTCCTCACCACAATTGGTGTACCCCACACAGAGACCACGGTACCCCTTTCCCTGGACACGTCTTTACCACAGTTGGTGTACCCCCCACGGAAACCATGGAACCCCCTCCCGTGGACATCTGTTCACCACAGTTGGTGTACCCCCCACGGAGACCACGGAACCCCCTCCCGTGGACACGTCCTCACCACAGTTGGTGTACCCCACCACGGAGACCACGGAACCCCCTCCCGTGGACACGTCCTCACCACAGTTGGTGTACCCCCCACGGAGACCACGGAACCCCGTCCCGTGGACATGTCCTCACCACAGTTGGTGTACCCCACCACGGAGACCACAGGGAACTCGCGCCTGGTGCGCTGCCGCCGCAGTAGGTGCCTCTTCTTCCGAAGCCCGTCCAGGGCCTTCCTGATCTTGGCCTCCTTCTCTTTCAGGAGACGCTGCTGCAGCTGCATGAACGATTCTCCTAAAAACACCCAAGACGGCGGGGCGGTGAGCCAGGCCGGGAAGGGCGCGGGAGCGGGCGGTGCCACTGAGGGTCCGCGGGGGCTGCTCCTCCTGCTGCGGCGTTTAGGGGCCCGGCCGCGTTCCCAGCAGTGGCCCCAACACTGTCCCTTTCCCTGAGAAAGGGCTGCGCTCGGCCCGGCGCGGCGGCTCACGCCTGTCATCTGGCACTTTGGGAGGCCGAGGCAGGTGGATCACGAGGTGGAGAGATCGAGACCATCCTGGCCAACATGGGGAAGCCCCGTCTCTACTAAAAATGCAAAAATTAGCCAGGCGTGGTGGCGGGCGCCTGCGATCCCAGCTACTCGGGAGGCTGAGGCCGGAGAATCGCTTGAACCCGAGAGGCGGAGGTTGCGGTGAGCCGAGATCACGCCACTGCACTCCAGCCTGGGCAACAGAGCAAGACTCCATCTCAAAAAGAAAAAGGCTTGAGCACTACGGGGGCTTCTAAGCAGGGCACGGCCGGGACGTCATCGTCAGGGGCTCAATGGGGCCCCTGTGGCATCCTAAGTCCCAGAACCTGGGAGTGGGACCCGATTTGGAAATATCATCTTTGGAGGAACTCAAGGTATCGTCCTAGGTTGGGGTTGTGTCTGGATGCAAAGATCCATGTCCTTCTTAAAAGGCGGAGCCTGGAGTGATGTGGCCACAAGCCAGGGACACCTGGCGCCCCCGGGAGCTGGGAGAGGCAGAAGGAGCCTCTGGAGGCTTTTGGTGTCCAGGATGGGCTGGCACAGATTTCTGCTGTTTTAATACCCACTTTGTGGCTACGTGTGTCGGCAAAACCTCACAGAACCACCACCATCTCCCGTGTCCTCAGCCGTGACCAGGACACGGAGCCCCCAGCCGGCCCGTGGCCGGTCGGAATCCTTCAGGGCCGCTGCCGACAACCCGCGTCCTCAGGACGCCCCGGGGCTCCGCACCCGGCCAGAGTTACCTGACCCCATGATGTAGCGGGAGCCGGATCCTCCTCGGTGAAGGTGGGCGACGTCCCTTTGCAGGTTCGACCTGGCGTGGGAACAGGAGGGGTTCACTCTCCAGGGAAGCTCTCTCCCTCCCAGGAGAAGTCGAGGTGAAGGTGAAGGAGGCCGCGAGCCCGGGACACCCACAGGTGGTGCAGGCATCCTAGAGCCTGGCCCCTGGTCCGAGTGGGCGTCCCAGAGCCTGGCCCCTGGTCTGAGTGGGTGTCCCAGAGCCTGGCCCCTGGTCTGAGTGGGTGTCCCAGAGCCTGGCCCCTGGTCCGAGTGGGCGTCCGAGACCCTGGCCCCTGTCTCGGTGGATGGATCTTTGCATCCTGGCGCCCACAGGAGCTGGGAGAGGCAGGAAGGGTCCTCCCCCCAGAGCTTCCGGAGGGAACTGGATGATTCCGTTTTAATGGCTTAAATAGCGATGCCCCAGATAGATGTTTATGTCTCATTTCCCAGGCCCTGTCAACGGGACGTTATTTAGAAATAAGTTCTCTGCAAATGCAATTACTTAAGGATCTTGAGATGACGTCACCGTGGATCAGGGAAAGCCTGAAATCGGATGACAAGTGTCCTTCTGAGAGACAAGAGGACACTCAGACACAGAGGAGGAACGTACGTGGAGATGGAGGCGGACACTGCAGGGATGAGGCCGCGAGCCAGGGACACCCGGCGCCCCCGGGAGCTGGGAGAGGCAGGAAGGAGCCTCCAGAGGGAAGTGGATACAACCGTATTGGATTGAACAGCAGACCCCGGAAAGATCAGTCCACATCCTAAAGCCCAGGACCTGTGAATTACGGGGGGCCTCCGAGTGGAAATGAGGAGCTGCTGTTGTTGGGGCTCCACTGGGCGCGTAGCTCACACGCTGTGAGTGAGATGTATCCCAGGCTGAGGGGACCTACCTAGAGGGGAGCGGGGTGGGGTGGGGAGACAGAGCCCCCACGGTGCTGTTCTGACTGTCATATACCCCCCAAAACCAGCACACATGTGAGTACAGAACGGAGGGGCTGCAGGGTGGGCGTGACGGTTGGCCTGGGCGTCCCGCGGTACCTGAGGAGCGGGATCTCTGCCAGGGCCACCTGCAGCCGGGCCTCCTCCGTGCGCGCGTTACAGCGGAAAATGTGCAGGACGACCGTGAAGCGGTCAAACACCTCCAGGCCCCAGGCGGCTTCCAGTTCTTTCTAGAGAAGGAGAGGGTGACACGGGGACGGCGGCTCACGCCTGCAATCCCAGCACTTTGGGAGGACGAGGCGGGCGGATCACCTGAGGTCAGGAGTTCGAGACCGGCCTGGCCAAAATACTGAAATCCCGTCTCTACTAAAAATACAAAAAAAAAAAATGAGCCGGGCGCGGCGGCGGGCGCCTGT